TGAGGAGAGAAGGTAAGATACAAACTTCTTTAATTGCATACAATTTACGCAACATCCTTGTAAGGCGATCTGACCACAATCTATCCCCAACAACAACTTATATGACAGTTCAGACAAGTAAACTATTGTAACAACATGCCACCGCCCTCAAGTTTCTTGTAATAAATAACTAGTTGCAATGATAGATCGGTTGACCATTTTTAAGGGTGTTGTCGCCGTCCTTCACACTTTATAAAATGCTCAACCGATCCGAAGCACTTCTCTGCTCCGGAATAACGTCATAAATTGCATTGTTTCTACGGTTGTGTTCGTGACGAAATCGTGACATCGTGATAACCACACCCGACTGTCCTCGGTAACTTTTTATGACAATTTACGAAATTACGCGACAAAATTTCTATTGATAAAGTGCCAAATCCTCAGAGTAACACCCACATAAAAGTATCCTTGCATTTATTACGTGCCAATTAATTAATTTAGTTTAATTTGTTTCGGTTTTTGAGACGAAAATCTCAGTTTAACTGCTCCAAGTATAAGAATTTTGCACGAGTTAGAAACAAAAATATGCGAATTATCCACCATAATTAAATCCTTTCGCCTCTAATATCCGTAAGTTTATAAGATTATTTAACTATTTATAAATTCCTGATTAATTAATTTAAAAAAAAAAAGTAAATGACTCACTGGATAAATTCAAAATAATAATGTTTAAAAACGTGATTATTTTACGTCTCATTAGTTTCCTTTAAGACAATATAAGATTTATTAATTAGAATAACGTAAGGTGATTGACGGCTGACATACTTTAATAGCATATCTTAAGTAATCCTAGTTTATGTTCTATATAAATTTGTAACAAATTTTATATGATTTATTACCTCTCCTTTTATTAACAGTAAACGAAATATGATAAACACTTTATAATTCAATTGAATTGGCTTCAATAAGAGATAACAAAATTGGTAAAAATTAAATAAAGCAGTAAAACCTACACATTCGAGTAAAGTTATGCGTCAAACATCTATCTATGTTGACAGTTTCCAGGTGTCAGGTGTGTCCTACCATTCCAACCAGGAACGATGACTCGCACCTCAATAAAAACTATGACAATGGATTATATTAACATATAGGATTTTAACAATAAGAAAAAGTAAAAGTCAAATAAGTATTTATCAAAATTCATGAAAGATAATTAACATTAAAAAAAATAATAATAATAATAAAGCAATTCGAAACGTCATTAATTTATTTTAATAGATTCAACAGATATTGCAGTTTATAATAAATTTGTTTGGTATGAGATATATAATAGAGTATGGTAGCAACGCCCAAATGCAAACAAAATAACCTTTTAAATAATTTCCTCCTCCTATTAAACAATTAGTTACATAGGAATAGAACATGAACTATAAAGAAAGATGGTCTCAGATCCCTGTTCTCATTTCTTTTCAATTAACCCAGAATTGAGTCAAATCACGGTTTTCAACAAAAGTCCAGGACAAAAAGAGGAGAAAAAAAAGAAATTTAAGACAAGTAGAAGACTCCACCCACGTTGATGGTACACATACTAACGACATTACAAGAGAAATATTATACTGTCAACGTTAACTGTCATACTGGCTCAATGAAAACAATAATAAATATTTAGCTTATTTTAAAAAATATTTTAATCAAAGAAGCAGAAAACTTAATTTGGATAATAAGAAATGTTTAAAAATAGCAACCGGCGCACAATATCTATTATTTATAAAGGAATTATTGATTATTAAATATAGAATGATCATCTTAGCCTTCTTGATATCAAAATCGTATGACTGTTCTGTCAGTTTTACAAAAAACAAATTAGCATGTTGAGGAACGGACATTATTTTTACGAAATACGCAACGTGTATTTTTCTTAAATAAATTGTAGTATGAAGTCTATAATAATAATGAAATAACACGACAAAACATCCTTTGCTTTATCGCTAACAGTAGCTTACAGTTTGAACTTTTTATATATTTTATAAACACAATCCCCTCCCAGTCAGTCTTTCTGGCTCCAGTTTCTGTCGTAAAGGGTATTGGTAGGAAATTTTATACCACACAAACAGATTTCTATCCATTGAAGATAACCACGAAAATCGTGACGATATATTGACAGATGCGATCGTTACACTAGATTATGTCTGTTACGCACGTGTCCTTATATATATACACTGTCAATATGTCTCACATATCAAATACCAGTCGACTGCAACACTACTTTATATCTTTAACAAGTTTGATAGGAGTTATCCATTAAGTGAGTAAATTAACTTTAAATATATCATATTGAAATTTTTTCTTGTTCATTACGTGTAAACAATAAATTTAAATGTATTTAAGCATGATATTTTTAGTACAAGACAGCTCGTATTTAATTACTTAAACCATCCGAAATAGGTTAACATATGCTGTAAAAAAAATTAGGGAATTGGAAACAGCACGATTTTGGTAATTGATGGTACCTTTTGTAGCATCTGGAAACTATTCTTTGACCGTAATCAAATTGTTTCTGTTTACGGCTTGCTCAAAGTATCGTTTACACTAATTAAAGCAAGAACAAAGACACTCGATAGGTTCGAAACATAAAGATGAAAGCATTGCACTATTCAAATAATGTTAACGATTGGCTGAACTCTTTCTATACAATTAACATCATTTAATGAATGGTAATCATCAGACAGAATATACTTATTAGTAACCTACCTATAATACACATAACTGTAGAAGTAAACCAGTCAAACGTTTCGGTTTTCTTTAAAAATAAATATTATAGTCACCTTTTAAAGAACTGGAAACTCCAGTCTAGTCCTACTGGCCACGTTTTATTAGATTATTTATTTGTTTAAATGACAGTATTTAAGGTAGTTCGCCTTGTTTCCTTCCTACATTTTGTGACTCACAAGTTGTAATTCCCCGATGTCAAAAAACACTCGAATGAAGACGTCATAAAAGATAGAAGGGGGAGGGAATCATAATCGAAAACTGAATGGTTATCAAAGTGCCTGCAAATACGTATTAGATCCTATTCATTATACATCTTTGAAAACGAAATTATGTCATACGCAAACAGTAATTAAGTCCTAAATTGCAAACAACTAGAAGTGACGCCGTGAAAACTCTCTCTTATGTCCTACATAATGTTTAGGGAACCGGTCTTTTGAACACGTAAAATTTATCTGCCAGAACTAGTTGTAATTTAAACAGCTGCTTGTCGCCATCCAACAAAGTAAAGTCGAATCTAATGGAGGAACACGACTCGGATGCTGTACAAATATACTCTCTCCTCCTCACGCACTAACTTCCAAACAGGAGAAGGAAAGCGTTAAATATATCACTGTCCCTAACCTCAAGGCTTAAAATTATATTTAAAATAATATTCATTTGCATGAGTGACAAAGAATCTATTTGGCTGTTTACAACTTTTAGAAATTTTCCCACCAGATTTGTCTTCCGTACTTTTAGATACCTTGCCATCAGGTTTTACAATCTATAGTAATGTATAGCTAAACTGTTGGCAAAAGATTTAGCCCTGGGCATTAAAAGATTTGAAAACAAGACAGATAGAAAATACTTCCTAACAGACGTATCATTAAACATGTATTGAAAACCGTATTTCTTTATGGTAAAATTATCAATAGTACAGACAAAGATATTTGATTTTATAAAAATATAAACAATCCATAAATAAGCCATTAATTATTTATTTTAGGCAATGATTTGCCTAAGGTTACGCGAATGATCGAATTTATAAAGCACGATTATTACAAAGGTAAAAAGAAAGAAAGAAAAAGGGGAAAAAATACATAAATATTTACTGAAACGGGATAAATTTTGTCATTCGTTCAATCAATATTTTAAACAAAATATTTTAAAAATAGAAGAATATTTTATAACCTTTTAAAATTTTATCGAATATAAAATAATCATTAGAAATTAAATTATTTAAATAAATAAATTATGAATAGTTGACTTTAAAATATAGAAAATATCGGTAAAAGATGAAGATTTACGAAGCGAAATTATATAATTTTATGTTCTTTTTTTTTAGCACTTTCGGATGTATAAAATAGGCAAAAATTCTAACACGACACGAATTTCTGATAAATAATTCTTAAATATTCATGATGACGTATCATAAATATTCATAACATTATCTCCAATCATAAAATTTTTTAAATAAATGGATGATTTTTGTGTTTATTACTCGAATTATTAATTGGATATAGATGATTTGAACGTCGCAGCTGCATTAAAATCAAATTTTCCTCGTAATTCCTCGACTGCTGAAACATTTCCGTTATACTATCGATTAATACAATTGCTAAACTCGGAACATTGCGACGATATCAAAATTTAATCCGAACTGGGCCTAAATTGGTAGATTGTCCCATGTGATTCGACAAATACATAGTTTATAAAAGAAGACGTTTATCATTAATCAATTGAAATGATTTAAAATTCCACCGAATTTTATTGTAAATATTTGAAAAAATTTTTCGAAACTTGAGACAAACACAAATAAAAACTTGCAAATGTTCTAAATATTTAAATAAAATAAGTTTAAAACCTTATATTGTATATTGTAAGACTCCTGACGAATACACAGGCTCCGGAGTTTATGTATATTTACTAATATTTATCATCCCTAGCGTAACTGTTGAAAACTTTTAAGAAAAATTATAAAAATTAGAAAGGAATTCGAATAGAATAATAGGAAAAATAAGCAAAAGAGAAATTATGAGCAGCATTCTTATATCTGGGCACGTACAATTCTCCCTTGACCTGGTTAGATACTCCACCTTAACACTATCCCATGGTATTCGGTTGCCAGAGGAATAGGATGTTCTTTCCAAGTACTAATCGTACTGCCATATGTTTGTTTCCATCGACGTAATCATCGACGAACAAATTAAACGTTTAATAATGCTCTTTGCAATATCTCATCTATTAATAAGTATTTAGGAAGGGAGTAGATAGCGATTCGGAAAATTAAATGGAAATCCTTGTAGTAGATGAAACCGAGCGAAAAGTTTCAAGTTGCCAACTGTATATCACGAATATTTGCATAACCACTCCCGATTATTAAATAAACGATATCTTATTTATGACATCAGCGGCGCCACGATCATTTATTGGTGGCAGCTAAACTCCTTTTTTTATTTTTAGTGGCGAGGACTAGGAACAGGAAGAGAGAGGGAGAGGGAGAGAGTATAGGCGGAGAGATACAATGTCAGTGTTTGTGAGTTGGACAAACAGAAAAGTTTCTCCACCAACTGGATCTCGCAGAACTGTTTACACGCTGTGAGTGGGAGAAGCAAAGACTTTGCTACGATAATCCGAAAATTTCGCTCGGGGCTGACTTTCTACCTAAAAATCTCTCGTCCCGCATTCGTAGCCCGGAGCCCAGCCGACTGTTTTGATTTCATCAGCGAGCGGACGAAATGAGATGCAAGATGAAATCCCAAGAAGCGGCAGTCTGTTGGCCCGGGGCTAGACTCGCCAACCGAGTCGTCGACGGGGCCCGGGGCCATCCCGTCAGACGGGTGCCTCCGTACGCCCCCGGCTATCAATAAACGCTAGCAGAGAGAGAAAGAGCTCGAGTGAAAAACCGTCGGATGGCAGTGGAGACGAGAACGGATGGGGGTAGAAAGGCGGTAAGAAATCGGCGGGCGCATGCGCCATATTTTACCTTACGAAAGGGGAAAAGGTAGAGGGAGGGTAGCCAGGCCGCACGCGCCGTCCTGCACCGAACGGTACCCGAGGCAAAAATCGCTTCCCTCCCTCGCAGCCCCACAGGATTGATCCCGGTCCAGGAGTATACCCCGGGGGAGAGCGGCTAGTATTCGTTAAGTAGTGGCCCGTCCTTGCATAGAAATCCAGCCCTCGCTAGTCGACGAGAAAAACTCGATCCCCGAAGGCAGAGCTCTCCCTATGCAGTCGGCCCGGGCTGGCTGGACCACCTCGGGCTATGATTAACCCTTACCTAGCGCAGAAACAATCCGAAGCTGTGAGGCAGCACACAACCGAGACCGGCAGAGACAAGCCGCCAGCCTAGCCACTTCTCTCGCTGAGTCTGGCCGGCACACGAATGGCTGCCCGCGGTGCTGACGGTCGTACCGTACCGTCGCCTTCAGTTACCCCTCGTCCTTGCCCGTCGACCGCTCTGGAGACGGCCGCAGCCGGCTACGCTGGACGTTTCTCCATTAGCAGGTAAGTCGACTTTTCACTCACCTGTTGATTATCGATTATTAATAATTCGTCGCTTGGCCCTTTTCTACTTTGATATTTATCGACTGTCCGCCACCGGATGGGTGTGACGTCGGCGTTGATAGCGAGGCAATGGTCCCGGATATTACCGAACTATCAAACAGCTGGTGTATCGGAATCGAAATCGTATCTTCTTGTCGGCATCTTCCGTCCTACGTGCGTCACTTCCTGCGGGTTTTCCCACTTTGGTCGGCACCCCGACCTCCGTGGGTGCCGCTCGTCCTTCTCTAGCCCTTTCCTTTCGCGCCCGGTTTACCAATATCTAATACTTTCTTTACCTTCCTCCCAACTGCAGGCTCGCTTCTTAATTAATTATTCCTTTTTTCCGTCTAATTAATTAATTATTCGTTATTCCGCCGTATACGCTAGTCTCTGATTCGTCTCGTCTACGTGACGGATCTCTAAGTAGTGGTTTCGGACCCGGATTATAAGTATAACCGTTGAAGAAACACCATTTTACTTTCGCTAATCCGTCTTTTTTCCCTAATATTAACTACCGAGAAACGGGGATCGCAAATTACGTTCGTGATATTGCTTTAGCATATAAATTAAAGACGATAATCGTTTCTAACCTATTTACATTAAATTTTGAAATTCATTGAAGTATTTTGAACACACAATGGCTGGACGTGACACGACGATAAGAAACATGACCAGTCTTGGAATGTACCACCCTTAGTCATCTGCTCGTCTGTTATTTTTCTCTTTTTCCCGTACTTTAACTAGTGAAGTGTTAACACAAAGTAGACGTGTAAATTATATTATTGAAGCGTTATTATTCATAATCTCGCCTACGATGAATAGAATCCGAAGATCTTAAGACGTATGTCATGACTGTCTTTTGTTGCATTGACCATGAAGAAGTTAATAATAATAAGTAACGCCTATCATCTAAAAATCAAACTAAAGAATATAATATCGAAGGCATTGACACACTTACATTCTAATTATTCGATATATTCGTTTATACTTTCGATCGTAATCAGGTTTCGAAAGCAATTAAGTTTCCTATGATACTTAAACTTCCAACCTTCGTATTTTGGAGGACGGGGCGGCCCCTCCGAGTCGCCTATTAGAGAAATACACCCTCACCTAAGTACCGAAAGGTTATTATTATCGAGAAAAAGCGTGATTTGGATGGAAATTACTTTGCAATGCTTTAAAACAGCTTTATAACTATAATTATCTACTTATTAATTTATTGTAGAGAGAAAAGAAATATTTACCATCCTCTTCTTTCATCTGACGTAAAAGATATCATGCATGAAATGGGATAATTAATAATAGTACCTTAATTCTAATTGAAATTCTCTATATAAGTAGTTAAATCCCGTTGAAAGTATTGTTATTTATTCGATATGGTGGCGTAAATTTCAAATTCTTGGCTAATTAAACCCGTTCCCATTCAAAAAAAACCCCCAAAGAGATTATTACACATCGCGCGACGAAATTCTCCTAGTTTATCTATTAATTTCCGCATATTCTCATTCCTAAATGTTAATCTATAATGTTATTTTATGACGTTGATAATCCAATTTAAAGTTAGGATTATTTCTAATCATTATATCAATCGTCGAATCACCGCGGGGATGAGACTAAGCCTCATGAAAACTCTATCACTCAAAAATCCTTCAACTACTCCTTCTAAGGATTAAAAAAAAAACTCATTATCTATCAAATTTCCTAATTAAAATCGTTTTTTTTTTCTATATTAATCTAAGCTTAGTTCTATATTTAAAATAATTTAACGTAACTATAAAAATCTCTCAGTAAATTAGTGAAAATTTTACGCATTTACCAAACTATTCTTCAGCAAAGATTTGTTAATATTTAGGTAAAAAAAATCTTCTTCTTCTTCGACTTACATCCGTAACCTAATTATTGTTTCGAATGGCCATCCTCTCAACCAAAATTGCATTCCCCCGGGTATCTTGAATATCTGATGCATGCACATCGCGTGTGCCAAGTGATTAATGTAGCTTTCTGCTCCTTACTTTAGCCTTATAAATGTCTGGGTGATGGGGTACTCTATCCACAATATCATATGTCTTCAAGACTACAATGCAAAACATGTTATTTATATAAGTTTGTTATTGAGCACGCAAGCATCTCTTGAACATGAAAACATAATATTAAATCATAATCTACTTACAAAATAGTTATATGAATTCAGAAATTGAAATGTTATCTTTATTTAAATATAAAGATTAGATTATAAAAAAATAATTATTTCCAATTGATTATGTTAAGAAGTAATTAAGAATATTTAAATGTAATGAAGATTTATTACGATTTTATAAGAATTTTTTTTTTTTTTTTGCCATCTTTTATCTTTAAAGTTTATCGATAAAACAAGAAATTATTTCGGCATTTGAATAAATGTTAATTTATTATAATAATTAATAAAATTACAATTTATTTCTTTAAAAAATTCATTTTAATTATGAGGTTTTTTTATGATAAAATTCGTTTATTAATATGAACGTTAAAGAGGAAAAAAAAAAATTCGCATTTAGGCGAAATTCTAATGTAAAAATTTCTAATAATCAAGGATTTTAAATGATAATAATATCATTTTCTACTTAAGAAACGTATTAAAAATTATATTTAAAAGTTAAATATTAAATAATTCGATTAAAATTCTTGTATATGTAAAAATATTTAAATATTTCTATATATATTATTGTCCTACATCAAATTGTTTTAATGGTTTTAATTATTATTTACTCAACCCTTTCTTGTTTTATCTTCAAAATGAAAACTTTTATAGGAATAATTAGACATAAAACTTGATTACCGAAAAATAACATTTTGTTTAAGTCGATGATGCAACAATATGTTTGATTTTTGAATTCTTTTACTAGTTTCTTAATGTAGATATTTTTGATATTTGCATCATTTTACTCGTGATCCATGCGTTTTCTTATTTAGCCAGAGGTATTTATCGATTTCTTAATGACTACCTCCCACCAGAGACTGTTTTTCGCCTTCGAGACAACTATTTTCTCTACATCTTGGGTAATACTTGAGTTGTTTGTTATAAAAGACTATTTTTTTTTAATTTTAATTTTTTAATCTGTTTTTTTTATAATTAATAGCGTTTCGAACTATGATTAATAACACGCAATTTAATTTAATTAAAGCTGTGTAAAAGCGCATAAAAGGTATAGGATTAAATAAAACTTGTAAAAAAAAAAGTACATATGTTATAAAACAATTGGTGACCGAATAACGCATCCGATTATAATCAAGGATGCTAGTTGCTCCCTCCAAGAACCTTCAAGATATGTAGGTCTGTATATCTTAATTTTGCTCGCGGCATAGACATTGGGTGTGGATAATTACAGAAAAAGCATCACCACCAAGAAATTCCACAGGTCGAGTAGACGATTATGCTTTAGAAAACAAATTCACGAGCAGAGATGTCTCGAACACTACCCTTACATAAACACAGGCCTCTACAAACAGTAACATATGTAAAACATGTGTCGCCCCCTTGAGCGGTTGAAATCCCCGAACAAGCCCTTTGGGGCGTTCCTCTGTCAGATCCGTGCGTATCCGCCCTCGCCCAGGCTAACCTTCTGACCTGTAGTTCGGTACCTTTATGTCCCCACCCAAATTCGTCCCCAGGCGATAGTAGATTCTCTTCTAACTTGTTCGCATATCCATGCAACTGGATTGAAACGAAATTATTGATTGTCTTCAGTTTTTTTCTTTTTCCTCCGTTCTCTTTTTAGATTACATATAAGACACGTGTAGATACTACTCTTTCATTAGCTACTCTGATCCTTCTGCAGTCGGTGATCTGTACCAAACTCCATGTACCGACTGCATTGCTAAGGGCATGGTTGTCATGGTGACTATTACCTCGGGCACAGTTCGCCCTACACGTGCGTCATTCAGACATTAGTCGCTGTAGGGATCTTATAGATATATATATATATATATATAAGTTATTTTTTTCTGTTTCTTAAGAATTTTTGCTTCTTTTTTTTATTATTATTTTTTAAAGTTTTTTATTTTTTATTTTGCATAGATACTCTTTGTTATATTTTGTAGGTAATTTCAATAAGTGAAGTCAGATAGAAACACTCGTACAAATTTTATTTACGGGATAATAGCAATGGCAATGATTTTTATCGTTCTTTTTCCCCCTTAACAAAGACCCAAAATACATAATTAATCGTAGTGGATGTTTTGTAAGTTGCAGTCTCAAAATTTCCTCGGGCTGTATATGGCCTCTCTATAAAAGTTCGATTGAGTACAAGTTAATGTGCCGCCAAACGTGCAGATTGAGAGGTTCTATCGATGGGTCCTGTTACTCGTTGACAGATGTCTGTTAGGAAAATTAAATGAGAATAAGTCGTTGGAAAATACATTAAGTCAACTGTATCTCGTATAGATTAATTAAAGTCATAGACCTATTTTTATCTATAATTATAGCATAGACAAAAGGGTAAGAATGTTATTAGAAAATTATTAATTTTTAAGATTATTATAATTAAGCCATAAAATTATTAATTTTTTTTATGGCTTCATTTATTCATTATCATTATATATATATATATGTATATATGTTATATGTGTTGTTATATATAAATTTTGTTGGTTTAAATTTATTTTTAAGAATGAAATATTTAAGGGATCGTGTATAGGTTATGTTAAAGTTATATAAAACTTTGATTCTTTTGTAAAGTGATGAACTGGAAAGGGTTATGGCTCTCGATGCAGGAGAGGACACCTCCAGACCAGTTGGTAGAATATGGTAGGTTGGTTTTCTTTTCTGTGTCATGATAAACGGTATTGCTTCTGTCAGTTGAGCACGTTGTAGATATTACAGGAGCAAGATAGGATGTCGTGGTGAGAGCGATAAATTTTGTTGCTTTCGGAAAAGTTTCCACCCTTTAAGTTTTGTTTGTCAATGATAAATTTTTTTTTTTTTCTAAATTCGTTCTTTATTTAATTTTATTTTAAAATTTTAAAAAAGAATATATATATATATTTACGCAAAAATTTATTTACATAATTTTCTTTTTGAATATTCAAAAATAAAATTTAAATGAATAATTAAACAAGATAAATTTCTCGATTAATTATAAACGTCGAGAAATTTAAATGAAATATCAAATATGTCAATTGCTTTTTTATTTAAAAAAAATAATAATAATTATCAAATTATCTCTATAAAAGCGAATGTCATTTGGTAAAATTAAATATGTAAATTTAATATATTTCGAATTTAAGAAGAGTAAAAACATTTTACCCAATTTGCATGTTAATATTATAAATTAAAATGCATGATTTAATTAGAATTTTATGTTAATATATTATTATTAAATACTATTAATTTAATATTAAATATATTATTGTGTGTTGTTTTTCTTCTATTTTTGATTTTGATTATATTAACTTAAATATACAAATACATATGCTATGAATGAGCCAAATATAGATGCCGTGTTTCAGAATAATATAAATCATGTTTTTTTATACATTAAATTAGCCATTTAATAAAGAACGAATAAGCAAACTATACTTTTCTGCGCCTACAATTTCCCTGTTAGAGAAGCTCGATATGCTTAACCCGACTAGTTGTAGAAATGTCTACTGTAGTGACCTTTACCATTAACTTAACTTTCCTTCTCTAGATTTCTGTCAACATTGACCCTATTAGTCCCTTTGACCCTCGGGTTGACATATCTCGGGTTAAAAGGTTGATGTCCCGTTTTATTAGCTCACGTCACTGACGCCAACGAAGCGATCCGAGATGCTTAAACTGCCCATTCTCCTCCCTCCATATGTGTTAATCAAAGGATGTTGGAGCACGGGTCAATAGGGTTGGACATTATAGCTGATTAATGACTTGTCACCTAAGAGGTTGGGTCAATCGCTGTTGAACCCTGCAGGGTCGAAACAAGTGAGCAAGTTAGTACTAACACGTTCGAAGATTTAACAAAAGAGACGGACCAGGAAGTAATGCCATTCGTTTAAGTTAAAATATTAAACATTACATGTGAATGAATTGTCATCACATAAAATACAACTACAATTATATACGAGTTTACAAGCCTTACAAGCTCGTAAATAATTGTAAATTCTGATTAATCCAAATCGTTTTTATGATTAAAATATAGATTAAATGTAACTATTTACTTCATATTTTTTTTTTTTTTAAATATCGGTTCAAATTAGCCTTAGATTTTTTAGAATTAGCATTTAATAATGGTTAAAAAAAAAGGAAAAATTAATACAAAAATACCTTAAGAATTACCATTGCTGAAATAAGTCATTAATATGTATTTAAAGCAGCTGATTATTAAATTCTCAAAAATTATTTGCATATTAAGTTAATCATTTTTAAATGTAATTCATATACTAACATGTTTAAGCGTATGAGTATAAGACAAAGTTATTTAAACTTACGATATATATTAAAGAAATTAAGAAAAAGTTTTGATGTTTTCATTTCTGACGAGCTCATATAACAAAAGATAATTATTTTTTTTAAAATAATTTATTTAAATAAAGTTTATTAAATTATATTTTAATCTTACGATTTTTCCCCTTTGAATAAATCCTAAATAAGTAAATTAAAAAGATTACATTAAGCGAATTTTTTAGGATTTTAAAGTTTATAACAGCGATTTATATTCTCCTTAATTAACTTTAAATTCTCTACGAAATATTAAATCGATTTATTTACTAAATTTCATGAAATTTTAGGGGGAAAAAATATATAATTTTAGCTTTTACGACATGAAATTTTTAATGTCTTACACCTAAAAATTATACTAAATCCCTTTAAAATAATACATAAGCAGTTGTAATATATATATATATATATCAATATATAAAAGAAAAAAAATAACATAATTATATATAGTAGATAAGAAATATGCCATTAAGTCATATTTTCTGGAAGTGGATTAGGAATTAATATATTACAGCCTATATTTCTGAAGGCAAGAGATTGCATTTAATATAGGAGATACTCCAAATCCCATTTTAATATTTGAATGATCTATATTAATTCTGTCATTCGATAAACTTTAATTTACCATTTCCAATATATTCTAAAGTAAATAATTGAGGATAAAGTTCTAAATCTTTCTAAATGAAATGTGTTTTACAACTTTTAACATTATTTAACTTAGATTTTAAGTTTTAATGTTATGGAGTTTCTTACTAAGAATAAAAGGAAATAATCTTGAAAATTATATTTGAGGCAATACGAAGATCGATTGAGGATGATTATATATTTATAAGATGCTTTGTTCTGTTCATCAAATGTTTGTTAATTATTTCTATTGTATTCTAGTTGAAACTGAATTTGCACAATCTTCTATAACCTATGTATATATGCTCTAGGCTAATATTGAAATTAAGTTTGTTTAAATGTAAATAAAATATTTTTCTTTATATGTAATTAACTTCAGTAAATTCAAATTACAAACATTAATTTCTTGTTTAATAAGAAATTAATATACATAATAATAATAATAATAATAAAACAAAATATCATTATAATCTTGATTTTATTTGCATTTAGTAATTACGATTAAGCGCTCAAATTTTTAGCCCCCCCAAAAAAAGAAATTATTTTATAAACTAGTTCTATAGATTATCAGTTATATAAGTCCCTATTTTAAATATATTATTTTAATCTTTATTTCCTAACTCATTGTCTCAAAATTGCGCTTAATTTTATCGCATTACCTTGACTCGCTTGATGTAAAATGACTTGCAATATAGATACTGTCTTAAATTAGTGAAAATAATGCTCTAGTTTTATAATAAAACTAGAATATAATAGATATAAATGGAGAATAATCTCATTACTAAATTATATATGCGTAATTTTTTTTATTAGGTCATTATATATATATATATGTATATATGTTATATGTGTTGTTATATATAAATTTTGTTGGTTTAAATTTATTTTTAAGAATGAAATATTTAAGGGATCGTGTATAGGTTATGTTAAAGTTATATAAAACTTTGATTCTTTTGTAAAGTGATGAACTGGAAAGGGTTATGGCTCTCGATGCAGGAGAGGACACCTCCAGACCAGTTGGTAGAATATGGTAGGTTGGTTTTCTTTTCTGTGTCATGATAAACGGTATTGCTTCTGTCAGTTGAGCACGTTGTAGATATTACAGGAGCAAGATAGGATGTCGTGGTGAGAGCGATAAATTTTGTTGCTTTCGGAAAAGTTTCCACCCTTTAAGTTTTGTTTGTCAATGATAAATTTTTTTTTTTTTCTAAATTCGTTCTTTATTTAATTTTATTTTAAAATTTTAAAAAAGAATATATATATATATTTGAATATTAAAGTCGCGATTTCTGTGTCTCGGAGATTTTAATATTTGATTTTTTTTTTACCCCCTTCGCTTCTCGCCTGTTTAAAAAGNTATACAATTTTTGAATCTATTCTCTATTTCTAACATCTTATTTTTATATAATATATAAATCAATAAAATGATACAAACAAACAAAAAAGAAAAAAAAATATATTTATAAAATGCGCGGATAACTGAACAATGCAAAACTTGAAATTTGCATATTTCCATTACAGAAGAATTTATTTATTTTTTCATGAAAACTTTAATCACTTCTTCTTTTATAAATTAATATTTATATTTTAATATAGCCTATATTATTTAATTTAATCTATAACTGAATGAAAAGAATATTATCCTTATCTCTTACTTATGCAGCATTTAAGGTTATCGTTTATAATAATACACACTAATTTATAAAAGTCTGACAACATAGTTTCTGGTCTTTTCTGGCATTCTTTATTTGTTTTCATCCCTAATAATTGCTACCATTACCTTTAAGTCTTCAGATTTATTAGGGAGATATTAAGGGGATGGGCCATATCTCCCGAACCGATTGTCTGATTTTCTTGAAAATTTCTGGAAATATTTTCCACTAATACACAAACTTTCGTGCAAAATTTCAGTCATTTTCGATCAAAGGTACAGGAGTTATTAAGCTTAAAAATGGGTGAAAAAAGTCGTGCCCCACATACACAAACATATATAGCCTACATACGGGAAAAAACCCTAATTTATTTATTAATACATACCTTCCCTTCGTTATATATAACGGCCGGGAAAATAAAACAACTGACTAAATTAATACTAAATTATTTTTAACTAAAAAGTTATTTAAAAAAAAAAAACAATTTTATAACTGCAATTTAATTAGCATATTTGAAAACAGTAGGTTATTTTACTAAGTTATTAACGTTTAATTAATCTTTCACTATATTTTAAATAGTTTAAATCTTAATAAAATCTTAAGTAATTGTTTGCCGTCTTAACTATTTAATTCTTTATTTCCATAAACAAATGAGTAATGAAGTTTAAATTGTATAGTCATTAAATATTTCAGTTATAAGTTAGCACGAATTAATATTAACATTTAAACAAACGACTACTACATTTTGAGAGCTGAATTTTTTATGTAATTGTAAATATGTCCGAATCTTTTACGTGTCAAAGGTAGGCCAACTTGTTTAATTTCCTAAATGTTTTGTTTAATCGGCTTTAAATAAGATTTAAACTAAGTTAATTTACATATTTTTGTATGTTTATAACCGATTCTGACAGCGGCAACATTATTCAATTAATAAAACAGCTAGTTCGATAATATTATTTAAATCGACTGAAAATTTGAAGCATTAAATAGATACTTTACATGGTCTAGCTACTTTTTTTTTTCACAGGACACGCTATAGGGGGAACAGAGCATCTTGAGGAAAGAAAAAAAAAAAGTATAGAACAGACTTCTCCCTACAGGACCAAACTTTATAAGGGTGTAACAACTTTTCTTCAAATAAATGATGGATGAGTGTTATATAATACCGAAATCAATCATATTTTGTATCATTTTATGTAATTTTTACAGTAATCTTCGGTTTTTTTTATGGAGTTTCCATACGAAACAAATTACTATATTTAGTTTTTAACTTAATTAAACAAATCGGGATAATAAAAATTTAAATTTAATCGCTAAATACTTTCTATTTTTAATTAACATTCGAGTTTAAGCGCGAATAAATATAAAGTTTTAACGTTGTTTTTTTTAATAAATATTGACAAAAAAGTTAGCGAAGGAAGTGTTAAAGAAAACATTTAACACGTCTTCATATTCGTTGTTCAACATTATAAATTAATGTTTTAACTGTTATAAAGACCTTTAAATAATCTGATAAGTCATTTATAATGATGATAATTTAACGATGAATTTTATCCTGGATGGTGATAAGATTGAGTTCTCTTAGACTGGAATATATTTAAACCTATTAGCTTGTTTTTATGTATATAATTGATCCTGTCATTGATCAGCGTGTTATAATACCCCCCAAAAAATGCAGTAAATAGTTAATTTAAGCAAGAATAAATATTCAAATCTATTAAATACAGGCCTGTTATAAGTACTTAATAAAAAAAAATCTGCTGTAAACAACCGATTTTTGTTATCAGATAATTTAAAATATAAATAAATAGCCTTCAATTACCTGTATACATTTTGATTTATATTCTAACCGTAAAGATAATTAGGCATATTATATATTTTTCTAAGTTTACTGTCAATAGTAATTTAATATAGGGCCTATATTCCAAGTAGAGGAAGAAAATGATTAAACTATAATTAGAAACAATTAAATAACCAGTTGTATGTAAGCAGAAATATATACTTAAAATAATTGTATTAGTAAACAAAAGGTAATAAATTTTTGACCTAAATATCATTTAATCATTGAAACTTGATTGTTTTATCATTATGTATCTTACACATAACAAATTATGCGTGTAAAGAAACCATAATTTTACAAATCAAGGACTTAATTTATTGTATATTTCGACTGGAGTACTTCTATTAAAGCTTGAATTAAAAAATCATTAATCATGATCATAATTTCCTCTAAAGGCATGATATTTCCTCATCGTTCAAAACTTTAAATCTTATTATTTATGTTCCCATTAAACCAAGAAACTGAATTTAAATTTCTTAACCCATTTCCTTTGATTTCCTTCTAACCAATTGTTTCTTTTAAATTATAAAACAATTATAAACATTATCGTGGAAGAAATTTTACATATTTTATAAAATTATTAACATTAAATTTTAAATGTATAATCTAATAAACAATTTTTATATAGAGACTCAATTAAAAACGTATTATTTAAAAGCATTTTATATACGAAAATAAATAGTTTATCAATTAAATATTAATTCAAAAGATAGATATAGTTTATATCATTTTTTTTATTATTATTTAGCTCTATTTAATTATTTAAATATCGTCATAAAGTTTATAATTTTATATATTTATTCTAATATTTTATAGAAATATAGAATATTTTTTTATTTGCGAACTTATCTAGCATTTAAAAAAACAATTTATAAGCTAATATGTTCATAATTAATCTTTATTTTTATTAAAATAATACAGAAAATATGTTCTAGATTTATAAACTTGCATAATATAACGTAACGAAACAAAAACTAAAACGTATTATTAATATAGAAATTGATTGCCAAATTAAATTAAAACAAAAAGAAAATCTTTATTTTTTAAAATCTATTCAGAATAAGAAGCGTGCTCTTTGAGGGAGAGACGGAAAAAAAAATGAATTTGAACACGTAGGTCTGTAACACGTTATCAGTGTTATATTTATATTGAAACACGAGTTTATATAAACACGCAAAGAATGTCTATCCATCACTAAGAAACTGATCCATTCTAAAAGAAAGTGACTTATCAGTGTTATCGTTCACACGAACTACACGTTGGTTGGTTAAAAGGTCTTAACAGTATTTTAAAAAACCGTGTCTAGTAATGGAAAATAATCGTAATCGTGGCGGAAAATAATCTATTTATAATTCTCAAATAATTCAAAAATATTATTATTGATTTTATCAAGATATCAGTAAATAAATCCCGAACGTCCATTGTGTTTAAATATGGTAAACTTGGGATTAATAAAGCCAATATATCAAGTGGAATCATTTTTCTAATGATTTATTACGTTTGGAAAATATATAATGATCTTTTTAATTTAATATCTAATTTATAATAATTATTTGTAAATTATTATCAGGCTACTCTTATGGTTTTAAATCTGTATTCGTTTGAGTTTATTGTGACGGTATACGTGAGGTAAGAAGTACTATAGCCTATTATACTCTAGTATAGTACTTCTACAGTATATTACAGTAGAGTAATCAGTATTATATAATAATAAGGAGAAATATTAGAATGTATTATGCTTAATATAAACTTTCTAAATAAAATTTTCAATGATTTTTTTCTATTTTTTTTCTTCAGTTTTTCAGTTCTGCAATTGTTTAGTTTAATTGAATTAACACTTTGAATAGTTAATACATATAAAAATATTAATATTTTTCAGTATTAATCAGAGATATTTTTATAATTTAATAAATGTGATCCGCTTGATGACGTTGGAAATTTAATTTCCATATTTTCTTTAAACAAATACGATGTATAAATTAATAAACACAATTATAATTGTTTTTATCGAATGAAATATATAATAAGCTCTTTCATATATTAATTAAAATTATTTTATAAACTTATAAACATATTTTTCTTGAAAAATTAATTTTCTTAGTCGGACATTAATAAGTGAATTTATTATTTAGTTGATATTATAAATAATATAATTAACTCATTGCTTATTATATATATATAAATTTATTATTAATTTATCTTTTTTAATATTTAACATATAAAGTGTGTATTTTAAGTGAATTATTATTTAAAATTACAGCTAAATTCTTTTAAAAGACATAAAAATAATATAATTAAATGTATTTTTATATATTAATAACAATCAGAAATATTAAAGGATGCTTCGTCCAGTTCTTATTCTTTGGCAAATCAATAGATTTCTATGGACTACAGCTTATAGAAGGTGTAACCCATATCGTCTTTATATCTGTCCAATAAGGGATTGATCGTAGTTTAGCTAGAGGGATATTCGGTCAGAGGAAACAACATTACGCTATTATAGGCAGGTTAGCCAATTTTCGAACGAATGGGTTTAGTTTCTTAGTCGATGAGATGGTCTCCTACAAGCGGTGCTACTTAAGAGCTTGCTTCTCTTGGATGTAATTGCCATTAGTTTAATTTCGTTAAAATTCTTTTAAGGTCCGAGTTAAACATCTTAAACTTGACTTTGAAGAAAGCAGCGTGCCTTAAACAGTATTTTTAACATAGAGAACCGCTTCTCATTGTTTTACAACTTGATCAATGACAGAGTTGATAGTATCGGTTGAGAATTCGTGAGTTAGCATCACGAAAGCAGTGATAGTCGCAAAGAATACGTGACGAAGAATTAAATAGCAAATACAATTTCTCTTAAAACTATAAAATGTTTTACGATAATTAAAAAAAATAGTCGCTATCGATAGACCGAAACCAAGTGCGAAATGAATGGCTGTTGTTATAATGATCAAAGCTGATTATTTGGAGAATGAGCGACAGGAGCACCAGGATATGTCTCGAAGAGGCCCACAAATGATTGTCCTCATCCCTTGAGGAGGCCCAAAGATTGCTACGGGCTATTAGACTCCACCTCCAGCTTCAACACGACAAGGGCGTAAAATTATTCAGTATTTTCACCCGACGTGTCTATACGAACTTATTCTGAATTTAAACATAAAAGAGTAAAGACCCGGACTAGTTTACTCAACAATTTAAATAAAATATAAGTATACGTTTATATCAGCATCGAGTTAATCATTAAGGACGAAAGCACGTGTTAAAAATTGCAATGTTTTGACTTCAGGTTTGATGCGGGAAATCTGCAATTAACACCACGCGACATGATCATGCCACACGGTACTTATCCCACAATCTAAAAATAGAGGAGTATAAAAGTCAAATCTTAGTCACAGCTTTGAGATTATGTAAATTCTGTGTAAATAAAGGCATCTTACACTGAATAATAAGATAGGCATGCATAAGTGCTATTTGTTTTCGTCGAGAAATGAATGCCCGCGTATGTTGCAAACAATTCTTTAACGTATCCAGAACAGGCTAGCCTCGTTGCTATTTGAAACCTTATCATTAAGTGTCATTGATGCAACGGAAAGATGATGTCAAAAGGAAAAGCGATTACGTCTCGTTGGGTTGATTTTAACTGCACTTCTAATCGTGGCCAAGTGGGGGATGTTCCATACGCCCCTAAGCACCCCCGTGCGGGGTAGAAGGATTGCAGAATCCCACGCGGTCTACGGATCAAAGTTCAGTTACACCACTCGGTTCTGGGTCTGGCAATCCGGTTCTTAATAGTGTACGATGTTCAGAAACGTCGAGTAATCATTTGAATAAGGTTTTTTACCTTGGTGGATTGCACGGGTACTTTACGCGTGAGGAGATTTATCTAGGAAGTAGATACGGACATATTTATCTTTTATCTTAGTTTACGAGACGTCTCCGGTGTTCTTTATGGGAATCTTTTCTTTAAACTAGTAGATTTTGACGATATTTTAAGTATCATAAAATTTTGCTTTTTTGTCTTCGGATACGAGACGGAAGCTATTCTGTCTCTTTGACTTAAAGGTGCAGGAAGTGCAAAAACTGACACCGCCTGCACTTTATAACAGCATGACTTACGACTGAAGAATAACAATTTATTGCTCTGCGGAAAGTACCGACGACATTTGGGGTCACTTCTTCAGTAGAATTTATTCAGTTGTCTAATCAAAGCCGTAATAGAATTTGCTGCGGTTCATTTGTCTCTTTTGTACGCTTTAACCCCATATAATGGATGATTTACTATTAATAGCCGGAGAAATGTAAGAAAATTGGAATGCCACCCTATCACGAAAGCCTTATAAATATTACTTTTCTAAACCTTTAGCTGCTACATTAACAATTTTATTACATTTTTCTAATTATGATTGATATAAATCATTTATCTCCTGACTTTTAAATTAAATAATTAGGCTCACAATTAATTATTTGTAGCATTAAATATTCATCTATTTTCCAATTAAGTTTATTTATGAATTATGCCGAAGAAACAAGAAGAGAAAAATCTTTTCTAGCACCTGGCACACCTGGATGCTTTCTCAGATCTTCAGATAGATGAAGTTAATATCAGCAGCTGAATTGGGATAGATGAATGAATTCCAGCAGTGTGGGTGGGAGGGCGTTAAAATGTTAGAACTGATAGATAGACAGTTAATGAACAACCTACGACAGAGACGTGACGTAATTAGTGGAAGACGCGCGACACGCCCTCAATCTGATTCTCTACTAATTTGATTAGGGGTGGAAAGAATTCCGAGAAAGCTGCACGCAAAGTCCACCTGCGACTTCCAAGAGAGATATGCTCCCTTTCGATTAACACCATGCATAAGATTGTTCCAACTTATAAATATGTAATGAATGCCCTCCACCGAAAAAAACAACATGCTTCATTATATTTTTCAATAACTGAACTTGTGCAAGTCTAGTAACTTACGTCTCCATCTTAAATTTTCTCAACAGCATCGTCTGAATATTTAAATTCGAATTAAGAAGCACCTAAATTGCGACAGGCGTTTTCCCTATCCTCTGCATCTTTATAATTGAAATAGCATTGTATGCAAAACTAAACAACCGTAACGAAACGGCTGGTTTATTTTCGCATAAAAATGATTAATTAAAATAAATTCCTTCGGGTAATTAAGCAGTTTTTAAAAAATGAATATATACCGAAAATTTCAAATTCGTGCTAAACTATTAAAAAAAAGAAATTGATAATATTTTGATGTCATTTTTATTAATGGAACGATGCGACTAAACTCCATTTCTTCATTTGGAAAGCGATTTTTCAATCGAGTACACATTTGATGATGGCAAAAAAAATTACTATCTTATTCCGTAGTAGAATTAACTTATTTGAAGAGAAGAGTTGAGATATTGTGCAAAAGCTGCAACGAATTGTACCTCGAAGGGACTGGAAACACTAACCCCCGAAGGTAAACGTGAAACAACCAATGAATCATGACCGCTGACTTTCGGGTATTTGCGGGGAGGGCCAGCAAGAGGGAAAAAGAACAGCCCTACCTCGTGGGCATCGAAAAGTATAGAGTGTGAACATCATGGCTAGAGGGTCAGTTAGCTGTCCCTCCGATGTCGTGTTTAATACAGAAATTACAAAGTTATCACGCCGCTGGTAACGAAGTTTTTCCTTTAAACTACCTGTCTTTTCATTAGAACTGTCGGAAAAACTTGTTTTTCAGCACTTACACGAATGATATTGTCTTTATATGTGATGGGGTTGCACTTTCAATTGCTTGTAAAATCGATGTTTGGGTTTATCCGATTAAAAGCAATGACAGTTTGCTGCCTTATTAGCGTAAATGTAATTTATTTAGTTGATTAATAGCTACTTTCGACGGTGTTAATTTTAGAAATTTGTTAATGTCTATACTAACCGGAAGCATATATTAATGTATCGTGTTTCGACATTCATTTACATATTTTTCTTTTAATTTCAGGTCGTGGTTAGAACCCAAATTAATGATGAACTCGTCTGATAGCAATTATAATCCTAAGATCTCAGGTATTCCTTGCGTGGCTGCAGCTTCTCGTTACACTGCACCCGTTCACATAGACGTTGGTGGAACCATCTACACTTCTTCGTTGGAGACACTTACTAAGTAAGTACCCTTGGGCAAAATTTACGCACAGGTCAAGTTCTCACGCAATAAACTAATGATATTTGGGAAAAATACTGCTTAATGACATAAAAAGAGGTTTCGGATGTCGTGATAGTAGACTTACGGAGTCGATGATGTTTTTACCGGTATTGATTGAATCACTTGGAAAAATCGAAACAAGATTCTCAAATAATCAAAACAGCAGGATCTCGATAAAAAGGAGGAAAGTCTTTAATTAAGATTTTATCCTTTCCATTCCAGAAATTCTTCATAAATGAGATTTAGATCAAAATATATAAATCAAACAAGTGCTTTCGGAGCAATAATCTTGAACTAATATACTTTGTGTGATAAATAACAAAGGCTGTGCCCCCGACTGATCTGATAAGGAGAAATATCATTGAAAGATCAGTTAATGAGTACAATATTCAATCATATAGCGGTCAAACAAGACGAGAGGCAACTCATCCATCATTGAGTTGGCTATAAGATTGATGCCTCATTCAAAGTGTAATTGTTCCTTTACTAGCAATTTTTATTTGGCATAATTCCTCTTCATTCTATCACCGAATCTGGTATTTTCTTTAATCTCAAATTAAAATATTCGTCATTAAGAGATGAAGAATTACGTTTCGGAGTAACTAATGTCGGAGCCGTGTGTCGTAAATCGACCCAAGTCATCTTCTCACGCCACGGACATAGTGACCTAACATCTCCGATTCTTCTAGGAAGTCATTACCTCTATAATTCTATCAGGCAGTACTTTTAAAACTGGTCTTAGTCGTTGTTTGATTTAGAAGAAAGATTAATGTGGAAGATTAACCTTCTACTAGGAAGATCGCTTAGACCATTATACTTAGGATATAGCTTCGGCTAAAATATCTTTCTGCTAACTAAACTCTCCGAGTTAGCCTTTTCTGTGTTAATTAAAATCGTTTTCGTCGAAGGCTTGCTCAATCGCATTTACTCTATTACTCCAGCTTAAATTACAATATTTATTCATTAATTATTTCGTTAAATATACTTAAGTGTATTAAACAAATTAAAATTAATATCATATTTTTCATCATCGTCATATCGAAATTATTTTAACTGTTAACCGTAAATAATAGTAATTCCTAGTAAATTTTCAGTTCTCGTTTAAAAAAAAAAAGATCATCTATTTTGAGGTAAGAAAAGATGACGAGACAAGTAATCTAGTTGAAGATGAGATTTAAACGTTCAGGTTAGTGACCCTCATCAGAGGTGGATCCAGCGGGGGTGGGTGGTGCGAGCGAGGCCCTGCCCCAAGTATGATATCCCGAGGACATTGCCCCTCATTATGGACATTCAAAAAGAGGAGAGAAATATCACATATTTACTGCTATTGTATCGCCCTACAACTGATTTTTCTCATCTTTTTTTTTGCCATCTCTCCAATATCTCGAATGTCGAAATTATTGTAAACTTGCATTATTCGTAAGCATCAAACGTAAGAACTAAACAAATAATATTCTAATAAATAAATGCACATCATTATCAATATAAAAACCGTATTAGTGAGTATTTAATTCTGTAAATATTTATTTAAATTTTAAAAATAAAGATAATTGCATTCAGCATTGAACATTTGAAACACTTTGATTAAGATCTAGATTTAATATTTAAAATGAATTTATATCAGATAATAAAATTTATCTTAACTTATAAAATCTTTATTTTTTTAATTTAATGTAAGTATATTATTACTAATAATTAATTAAAGCCAGAAAAACTCCAAAAAATAAAATTTTATTAACAGCATTTGCTGTATAGGCTACAGTTGGTCTCATATGTAAATAGGATAAATTTACTTCAGTTTTTTTCAGTAATGTATCAATATAATCATTTAAAAAATATATTTTTTTATAAGCCTATAGCAATAATTCGCAATTAAAGATACAACCTTTGGCGTATTTTTTTTTCCTTTGATACACTTTCGATAATTGTGGCATAATGTGAATAATATTTAGAAATATTAGGACGAAATCAATTTAATTTTAAAATTATTATTATAAAATTTATGTAAAAAATTTAATATAAAATATTGTTTTCAAAGCAAATGCCTTATAAAATTATTTCCACATTTTTTAAATTTAAAGTATATGAAATATTGATTAATTTTTTTATCTAGAAATTTTAATAATTAATAAATTATGGTATTAATTAATAATACAGGATTTGTTTGTTTTTGTTCTTAAATTTAGTATTAATCATTAGAAATGATTAGGAAAGAAATTTTATGTTTTAACTTTTGTTTGCGTAGACATCCCGAATCTCGTCTTGCAAGAATGTTCAATGGAAGCATTCCCATCGTGTTGGACAGTCTGAAACAACATTACTTCATCGATCGTGATGGGAAAATGTTTAGACACATTCTAAATTTCCTGAGGACCAATACATTGGCCATTCCGGAATATTTTCCAGAAATGGAGCTTTTGTACGAAGAAGTGAAATTCTACGACATTCCCGCATTACAGAAGTTAGTCGAGGAACATATTAGGAGAGAAAGAGCTAAAAAACAGAATCATACCAATAACGTTCATCACGAGAAACATCATCAAAACGCCAAGTGTTCTAATCACGAAGAGAAAAATGGCGACATCGAATATCAGTGTCTCGCTCTGAATATCAGTCCCGATCTAGGAGAAAGAATTATGATAAGCGGCGAGAGAGCTTTGGTGGAAGAAGTGTTTCCAGAAATAAGTCAAGCTTTGATGGATGGAAGAAGTAGTGTCGCGTGGAACCAAGATTCAAAACACGTCATACGATTTCCCCTCAATGGATATTGTAAGTTAAATTCACTACAAACTATCACTCGTCTGTTAAATAACGGATTTCGGATAATGGCTTCGAACGGAGGCGGAGTGGAAGGACAACAGTTTAGTGAATACCTCTTCGTTCGAAAATCTTTACCTCTCTGAGATCACTCGTGAGATTCCAGATACGGTGCTACAGTTATACTAACTGTTGTCAAACTTTTCTTCAGAAAACTTCGACTATCTCGAAATTTTCTTCGTTCGTCTATTTCAGACGTCATTCCTACCGAAATACATACAAAAGCGGATTATACGCAATGTTCCAGTGCCATAATATCATCCTAGAAGAACTTTTGTTGCAAGAAGAATGTCAATAATTATTTAAACAAAGACATTTTTAAACGTTCGTCTCTCTAATTTGTCAAATTATTGGCTATTTTTGAGAATAGTCAATAATTACGTGAGGCTTCTTGTGTTTTACCACCAATTTATTTTGGAAACTTATTCGGAAAAGTGGGTAAAAAAAAGAAGTGAATGTTGGCACCGTAACGAGAAATAGGTTAGGCGCCATTCTGGATGACTTACGCTAGTCACTAGCCAAGATGCCTGAAGGAATCATCTGGCGAGCCTGGAGACGAGCCTGTGGCAAGCAGTGCTACCGATGACTGGACTAGATAAAGACCGGTCGTGGTAGTACTTGCTTGCCATACATTCATAGTAAGTGAAACATAGACAAGGGGTTAGAATGGGGTCATGACATCTTCGTTTTTTCCCTTTTATGTCAGTTAAACGTTCTTAAGCGATAAGATTGTTATAGCAAAAAAGTTCCATCTAAGTTTTATTGCTTTTGGAATTTTTTACTCTTTCCATCACTAAAAAGTAGTAAGGAAGGAGAATGTGCAATTTAGATATTTACTTCAATATTTATAATGTTCCAATGGGTTCGGTAATAGAATAAAAATAAATACCCTGTAGATAAATGTTTTTGTTGTGCAAATATTCTACCATTTTAAAAAGGTAGAAAACTGCAGCTTGAAAATTATGAATATATAAATATATATATATATAAATATATATTTCTGTTTTCAATAATTACGATATCTAAAATTAAATTGAAAACTTTTACAAACCAATCACTTGTGACAAGTGCCTTTTTAAAAGAAGGTTTAAGTTTACAGTGTGAGGTCAAATATGGCGGAAGTCTTCACTTTCCATTTTCTTTACGTGATTAACTTTACCAACAGAGATGTAACATTAACCTACATACCGTCGATGCAATAGTTGCTATATAGGTCAGAACCTTTTACCTGAGGCTTAAGTATCCTCATCCATTTAATCTGTGGATTATAAATGCTGAATTTACAATAAGTCAATACCTATTTCCTTTTTTATAACATATTTATAATAATAAATAAATAAAATCACGCAATATTTTGTATAAAATGGTTATAGATAATTTTATTCTTCGTATTTATAAGTTTTTCTCTTAAAAGGAATACAGAAGAGCTTAAGTTTATTAGCATATTTACAAGTAAACAACATTAATAACTTATAGAAGAGCTGAAATTCTCATATTTTCAACGCCCAAGCTATATAATGTCGCTATAAAAGACAAAGTTCAAATGGTAATGTCGACTAACCACTCTTATAAATATAATTTAATTTAAAAGCAAAGGTTTGTGTAAGCATAAGAATGTATGGACAGCAGTACTTGTTAAACCAGACTGATAACTAATTCCAAGTCCACTTTCTTAACCTAAACACCTTTAAATCGTTTCCACAGATGACCTTAACCTCAGGCAGGAATGGCACACGTCTACCAAATGACAAATGAAATCCTTGCACTTTTATAACTGGGAGTTATCCTCTATTAGAGGAACCAAAGGCTAGGTTGAAGTATCAGTTCTGCTTAATTTAATTTCTAAACATTCATCCCATCTACTACCCTCCAGGCAAAACAGATTGTGACATATCCGGGTAGGGATATTGCGTGCCTAGACACGTGATATGACGTCATCAACCACTAGTTAATTATTACTCACGTTATCACTGGAATTTAGTACATCAAAGTGACCGCAGAAACCAATAACTGTCGTAAATATGTAACAATTGGATCCGCTAGAAATATCTGGAGTGGTAGGTTGTAACTTTCTTCTGACAGGATTATTTGAATAAATAGTATCATCTTAAGAGAATTAACTGGTTTCGTAGGATATTAATAGAGTTAGAACCAACAATCCGGGCACAAGAAAAAAAGAAAATTGTTTTAAATTTTAGTCGACTGACAGAGTGAATCTTATCAGAAGAGTTTATTCATAAAACGGAACAAGTTGGTGCTAAAAAAAATACAAAAACAAAACTTCTCAAAAGTCCGATTAACTATTTATTCTTATATTCTATCACTGATCAAAATTACCGTCCCGATATTATCATTATTAATTAAAGCAATGTTATTAGAATATTTGTTAATTAGTAATTGCATTAATCAGTGATTGTATAACAATATTTCGCAAAAGCTAGTCTGTTAGTGAACTGAATTGTATTTTTAATTTGTAAATCCTTGTGTGTGAATGCATTTTTTGGACAATTAATCCAATTAATAATCACTGTTTGGGTCTTTTATGTATGGGCCTAAAAAACATTTTAAATCATGTTTATCGCGATATGTATAATAATTAAATCTTCCATCACTCGATACTACCGAATTATTCTATAGTTTGCAATCAAAATTTTTAATTTCCGAAGATATTAAATATAGATTGTGTCGATTTTTACTTAATGATCTTTCGTGTAGATAATATGAAAGGTATGTTAAATCATAAGCACTCACACTGTATCCATTCATACCGAGATCTCAAGGTAGAAGACATTTGTAACCTTGTAAACGTGGACATTATAATGAGGTGTAGAGGTTATAGTCCAAGGATTTGGTGGCAGGTAATTTCGCCTCGCTAGTACAAATAAACCCATCAATGCTTTTTTTTCCTCGTATGTACTTAGGCATATGTATGTTGTTATAAAATCATAGTTCCAATTGTCTTCAAGGCTGGTACTATTGCCGTGATTCTGTGCCATATTTGAAAAACTGGACCTTCATGCTATAAATGTATATATATATGACAATTTACGAGGAATAAAATTATATTGCTTTTTAAGATGCTTCTTGTGTTTTGAGTGTATTTAATAACGTCGTGAACTTAATAAGAATGTTTTTTAGTTAATGGTAGATAAACACGCATCGAATAATATTTAATGAGTTTATATATATTACGAGATATATCAAGACTTCTAATATCAGAACGTTCAGAAAGTAGGCAGGACAGGGTGGTCTATACAGCGTCACCTTTCTGAAAGATTAATGAGTGGCCAGGATCGTACAACGCCCAATCGTCCAGTCCCCTTCTCTTGCCGCTGATTCGAAGGGGGGATGGGTTGACGCCCCGGACATGGGGACTGCACCCCATTCGTTGAACGTTTCGCACGAGACTGGGTGTGTCCCTCCACTTTAACTGCAAACCGCATGGGTGGAACGCTTTGTCACGTGATGGTTAGTAGATGGCGTTACAGTCACGTGGAGGCTGAATAAAGAGTGATTTGTCAGGAGGAGATAAACTTACTCATTCGTATTTATCTTCTCAGCAATTTGCTGATCAATACTGAAAAAAACTCGATAAATCTCTGCATGTTAAGCCATTTACACGGTAACGCGCAGAATTATCTTTATATATAAACTTTTCGATCGTTAATTTGATAAAGGGTACGTCTTTATTAAAACGTTAACGTTCAAATAAAACAATTTATTATTATTTTTTTTTCCTCATCAAGAATATGTTAAATAACATTCCTCGTTACACCTATCATTAGTTTTTCATGAAGTACGTTCTAAATATTTTATTTCCAACCGAGTATTAATTTACATTTAAGATGTTCCTAAAATTGTTATTCGCTACCTGGGATATCAAATATTAAGATATCCCATAGATAAATAGGCTAATAGTCTCCTATATCTCAAATAAGATTTTTAATTAAGACTGCAAATTTGATTTCATAATTTCGAACCAAGAAACATTCGTCTTATATTAAATTTGTTGCCGAAAAAAAGCTCTCCATTTCTTTGTATCGTATAAAATTGTATGAATAACCAGTTCGTGTCTCGTCTAACTGGTTTCTTTTTAGTGGTGAGTTATTGAGTGGGTTATTAAAAAAAAAACAAAAAAAAAAGGCAACCGAAAGTCGTTTCAATTAACATTATGCAGTAGCTTATAGTATTTAGAAACAGATGTATCCGAACAAAGAGATGAGTGATTTTAATATGGAAAACAATACCAGGTATTCATAAATGCTAACAGTAATGAAATTGAAGTAAACTTTATTTATTTCGTTAATTATAAATGATTGCTTACTTAAATCTTTATGAGGAACGATTGTAACCGGTCTTAACGGTCTTATACAGGAAGGAGTGGTTATCGTGACTACAAATAAAATTTATAGAGTAATTACTAGTTAAAATTTATATTTATATATATTATATATGTTCGTGTACGTAATTAAGTTCTTTGTACTTAAATTTTATTATGTAATCGATAATTTTAAAGCGTAAGATTGATATATTCTCTATGACAGCACCCGATGTCTGCCATAAAATTAATCATTCTACATACTTTCTTAAATTGAAAAATTGTGCTGGAAATAATATTAAATTTTAAAAAAATTTATTTTTATATTTTTAAATAAAGCCTACACTTCTGATGCAAACAGTTATGAAATACAAATTATTATTCATTTTTTTTTTTCAATTTACTTAATCATTTATCATAAAATGTTGGTCACAGCCAGACGAGTGAACAGTTATCATTGGCTGCTTCAGGCATAACAGGACTTTTTGAAACAAATGAGAACGCTTGATTAATTTTAATATCCTTTTCTAGGACTGAAGAGTCATTCATACATTTTTTACAGCTTAATGTTCATTTATCTTAATTTTTTAAGGCTAATTAATACTTAATTATTACATATAAAATAGAGCAATCTGAAAAGAAAAAAATGAAAGAAATAACAAGTAAAATACCTGAAATAATAAAGAAATTTTAAAAAAATAAAATTTAATTATCAGTTATTCTAATAACAACTGTTTAATTCTTATTGATAATAATCTAACCTGGTAAATCGTTAATTATATTTTCTGTCTGCATAAAATATATATAATTTAAGTAATTAATATTTAAATCCAAAAAAAAAGGAAAGATTCGAGCTGTTCTTTTTTCTGATAACGTAAGCATAATTAATAATAGCCTTCATCACTCGTCGCATTTTACACACAAAATGCATAGTTTAACATGGGTTACTTAAACATGAATCAAGAGAAATACCTAAGAGAGATTTTGTCATCTTAAAGGGACGTTGGCAGCGATTTAGGTAACTCTAGGGTCAACACTAAGTATTCTTTCCACGTCTAGACTAACACAAAGAAAACAAATGGAAATCTAATATCGTGTTTGGCGAGTAATAATTAACGTGCATCATCAGCCAACAGACTACTTTCAATTACATAGATATGAGATCAGAATAATCAATTGGGGTTATGATTCTCCAAAGACCTTCTGCTAACAAACTTCTGGAATGTGAATAAATGCATTGCTATCTACTTTACTATTGTTTCAAATAGGAGTGACTTACGATTGATGTTATATTGCTGCGTGGAATACAGGATTGTTAAGTGGAAAACCAGTTGATGTTTACGTTGCATTATAGTAAAACATCACCTTTTTCTGAATTTTTCATTATAAATAATATATTTATAACTATAACATTATTTTAATTGGAGAAATTAAGAAACTTTCAACAAAAGTTAGCATTGAACGAGTTACAGATTTCAACTTATCGATTGTGAAAGAGTTCTTCTTGATATCTAACAAGAGATACGCGACTTTAAGTCGAGATTTTTCTGATTTATAAACATTGAACTTAATATAAAAACGTTCCAGTGTTTAATAAATAATAAACTAAATAGCCTAAATTTAGCATAACTAATATATATTTGCTACAATGTTATTTTTGGAAGCAAGGTTGATACTATTGCTAAGTTTTTTTAATGAGAAAAGTGGAAAACCAGAAGATCATTGTGTTAGAAAAAAAAAACAACTTGTAAATGAACTTATACCAAAAGAATATTGATTAAACAATTGTAGAATTACTAATTAATATATAATAAGATACCACTTAAGTCATCATTAGGAAGTATCTTCTTATTAAAATAAATTATACTTAAATTCCACAAATTTATATTATACTTAACATTCTTATTTCCGTAAATGAATAGTTCGTAAATATTTATTTTAAATTCTACTTCTGTATATTAATATTCTGATATTAGATAAACTTGGAATATTATTTATAAAATTAAATAAATAAAATTTTAAAAAGTAAATAAATCTAATATATTTTCTAAAATTAAGTAAATTATTTTAGCTCACGTACAAATTATTTAAAAAAAAAATTGAAATGAATATTAGTATGACAGTGAATCATCAATCACGAACTAAAATTGTCTGACTATTTCATAAGATTATCTGCATCAGTGACCGATACGATTAAATTGCTGAACATCAATCATATGTTCTTTATCTATACAACCAACTGTTCAATTTTCTTTCAATATTTTATAAAAAAATATTAAATTATTTCTCTTTTATTTACATTTTATAATATAAATATATCAAATATTTAATTTATTATAAAAATTTATCATTTAATTTACAAAAAAATTACATTGTAATTGAAGTAAATTAATAGATCCTTTCAATCACTTTTAGAATTATTTTATTTTTTAGATACGAAATTTTAAAGTTAAAATTACATTTTCGAAAAATTGAATTTGTAAAATAAATATAATTTGTGTTGAATTATTATTATTATTATTTTCTTTTTTTCTTTTTAAAATTTCCTAATAATTAAATTTACATATTGAATAATTAAAGTTTAAATTGAAAAAAAAACTGAATTATTTGAATTGAAGAATTAAAATATAAATTTAAATAATAAAAATCATCAAAGAATAAAGCTCTTATTTACTTATTTACGATTAATTTCGATTAAACAATAATTATATTATAACGTTTATCTTGTTATTATATTAGTATAAATGGGTTTATAATATGAATTTCAATATGAATATACAATATACTGTATTGCTTATAAATTTATTATTACTAAATTAATAATTACAAATTAAGTAAAATAAAATTTATTCACAAGTAAATCGTGATTAGATCTTATATAAAATATCTAAATAATGAAAGCTTAATAGACGATTAAAATTGATTTATGTTGATTAGATTTCATCCTATTTAAACATATATTATGTGCCATTGAGTAATAAACGATTCAAACTTAAACTGTATCATTAAATAATTATTATCAGACCTAATAACAATTACTTTAATGATAATCTGTGATTTTTACTATTAATTTTGTTTAATTTTTTTTATTAAATTCTTTGATTTATCTTCAGTATTATGACAATAATAAGCGCCGAACGTTTCATACCAGTGACAATGTCCCAGAAGAAAGTTGACACAAAGCAAAGTTTAGGACTCAACCACCCACTAGAGTCTCAACGGGGAAATAAGAAAATGAGCGGAAAACAAAGACTAAAAGTAGCCCAACGGCCAAATAGATATAGCTTGTAGCCTAGGAACATTTCCATTTGAAAACAACAATTCACCCTTGTTCATCTAACTTTGTGTCTATTGAATTGTGCTCAGGGATTAGCGCCAGGAGAGACAGGAAAATTACCAGTACCTCCGATTCCCCCGGGTCAATGGAGCCAAGTTATTGCTGTCGAGGTTTTAAGCCTCCGGCTACGCTGCGAGGTGTCCGGGACTCACCCCTCAGAAACCTTCATACCGTCTCTAATAGTCTCTATGGGTTATTACAATTTGTCCAGCTATCGTGCTGTTTTAGCGACCTCAAGGCAAGCAGGTGCTGGTAGCTGTTGCCTCAGGCATCGGAGGCCTCGGCCGAGTCTTAACTTCTGAAACAAACATACATACTCAAGGCAACGCACATGTTAAAAGAGACATCTGCAAAACGTTGAATATGACCCACTCTGTCAACATTCCCACGAGAAAGAGAACAGAATTATATTAGACGATGT